GTTCCTTATTTGTCCATCTCCCCTGTTTACTCTGTCCCTTTTTTCTTTGTCTACATTCGCTCTTGTCTTCTCTTCAGTTGCCACGTATCTATGTTCATGTAGCATATAACTTTTCCCTCCCCCCTTGGGAAATTCCCACAGTTCATGTCTGTTCTTCCCCACTGCCATGTGGGGATTTCAAAGTGAAGCCTTTACTAGTGTAAATAACAAAAAGGCACAATACCGTGACTGGAACGATACACAAATAACCCGCACATAAAAGAGAGAAGCCTGTGACGACGTTTCGGTCCGACTTGGACCATTTACAAATACTAGTGTATCACTCTCAAAAACCCAGAGTGTTTAAGAAAAACAGTCATCAAGAGTAAATTGTGTGTGATGTGGAAAGCTAATAATAAGGCATGGGTAACGAGGCAAATTTTTGTTGACTGGGTCTTTGAAGTGTTTGGCCCGAGTGTGAAAAATACCTCATGGAAAATAAATTGCCACTCAAGGTCCTCCTGGTACTGGACAATGCTCCTGCTCATCCTCCAGACTTGGAAGACCAATTGTATAGGGACTTCAGTTATATAACAGTGAAGTTCTTGCTTCCTAACACCACTCCTCTCATCCAGCTCATGGACCAGCAGTTCATTTCTAACTTCAAAAAACTCTACACCAAAGCAATGTTTCAAAGGTGCTTTGAAGTCACCTCAGTCACTGACTTGACCCTAAGAGAGCTCTGGAGGAATCACTTCACTATCCTCCATTGCATAAGCCTTATAGGTAAGGCTTGGCAGGAAGTGACTTCCAGGATTTTGAACTCTGCTTGGAGAAAATTGTGGCCAGAATGTGCCCTCGACAAAGATTTTGAAAGGTTTGAGGCTGAACTTGTCAACCCTATGCCTGATGTGGAATATATTGTCTTTGGGGATGTTCATGGGGTTGGATGTGAGTGGCCAGTATGTGGAAGAGTTGGTGGACAACCACAGAGAAGAGCTAACCACTAAAGAGCTGCAAGACCTTCAACTGGAACAACAATAGACTGCAGCTGAGGAAATTGCTTCAGAGGAGGACGAAGAGAGAGGGGAGGTGCCTTCTTCAGTGATTAAGGACATTTGTGCAAAGTGGAATGAGTTGCAAACCTTTGTTGAAAAGTATCACCCTGACCAAGCTCATACAAGCCATATCTACAACATGTTCAGTGACAAAACCCTGTCCCACTTCAAATAAATCTTAAAGAGATGCCAGAAACAGAGCTCTCTAGACAGTTTTTTTGTGAGACAGGGGTCCAGTGACTCTCAAGCTGGTCCTAGTGGCAGTAACAGACAAAGAAAGGAAGTAACCCCAGAGAGGATTTTGATACCTAAAGTTCTTATGGAGGGGGATTCCCCTTCCAAACAATAATCAGTCCTCCCTCTCTCCTTCTCTCTGTCTTCCATACACCAACAAGAGTCTTCAATAAAGGTATGTAATATTTATTTTTTTTATTAACACACTGGCCGATTCCCACCAAGGCAGGGTGGCCACCAAGGCAGGGTGGCCACCAAGGCAGGGTGGCCCAAAAAAGAAAAACTTTCACCATCATTCACTCCATCACTGTCTTGCCAGAAGGGTGCTTTACACTACAGTTTTTAAACTGCAACATTAACACCCCTCCTTCAGAGTGCAGGCACTGTACTTCCCATCTCCAGGACTCAAGTCCGGCCTGCCGGTTTCCCTGAACCCCTTCATAAATGTTACTTTGCTCACACTCCAACAGCATGTCAAGTATTAAAAACCATTTGTCTCAATTCACTCCTATCAAACATGCTAATGCATGTCCACTGGAAGTCCAATTTATTTATATTTATTTATGTTTCTTTATCACTGTTTTCTGTATGTAAAACTATATTTATTCTTTAAAAAAATGTATCTTTTGTTAATACTTTTGGGTGTCTGGAACGGATCAATTGTATTTACATTATTTCTTATGGGTAATATTGTTTCAGTTTTCATACATTTCAGATTTAGAATGATTTTCTGGAACAGATTAACTACAAAAACTGGAGTTCCAATATATTGGAAAATATACAACTCTGAGGAAGAACATTTATTTGCTGACCTTTATTAATGGTTCTTCTTATCCAGTTATAAAATATGAAAATGTCTTGGAAATGTTCTTTAAAAGAAAAACACTGGAATTTTTTCTTTAAACTTTCATTTTCTAGAGAAGTATTTTGACAAGTATTCACTCATAGAAATAGAGAGAGTAATTAAATTCTAATACAACACTAGGGCATATAATAATCCCTCTCATACAAGTACATCAAATTAACCCGTAAACGGTCCAAGCAGATCTACGTTCACATGTGTAGTGCTACAAAAGTAGATCTAAGTTTTTTTTACATATTTTTAAATATAACAAAAAAAAAGTGGATCAAAGTTTTTTTACACATTTTCAAATGTAAAAAAACAAAAAGATCTACTTTATTTTACATACTTTCAAATGTTGAAAAAACGTATATATACGTTTGGACCGTTTACGGGTTAACCACTAATAAGATGGCACATAAATAAAAAAAAAAAATGGTGTCATTAAAACTTATCAATACATCACTGTTCTGAAAAATCAACAGTTGGAAAATAAATTTACCTACACAGGCAGGTCCCACTTTACAGCGCTTCAGTTTTTGGTGTTCTGCTAATGCAGCAGTTCTCAATTATACCTATTCTTCATTTATTCAAACTTCTTACAATAAATATATTCACTACTCGCTATAATCTAAGGACGAAAATATTTTAAGGTAAGTAATATGTGTACTGTATATGCATTTTTTAGGCCTAACTCTACTGCTCACTAAATATATGATAGTGTAAATGTGTTATTAGACTTTAATATGCAAACCAAAGTGAAGAAAATGCTACGTTTCACTTTACAGCAGCAGCCTGAAACCTGCTGTATAAGCGGGGCCCTCCTGCATTTCTAAAATTGACAGTGTTATTACGACGCTTAAGAATAACCCTTGACCTCCATGTTACGCCTAGCTCAGTTGTTAGTGCAGCACTGCATGACCCTTATGGGTTTAGTGCCTAGTTACGATTATAATAATAATCAGTTGTTAGTGTCTGACAGATTTTGCATTAGTACGTCTGGGTCAACTGGCATATCTGGCAGACATTTACTCATCAGTCAAACTTGGACTGGAGCAGATCTCTGCTGGTATCGAGGGTTACTGCATGATGAAGACTTACATTATAGGGTGAAAGCACAAGTGAGTGATGTGAATTATGTGAACTAAATATAATATTTGTGTCTACTGATAGGTGTAAATGCAATGTGAGTATCAAGGCTCTTTCTCAAGTTGCTGGCCTAATCTATATCACCTTGGCTCAACTACCACAGTTTAACAGATTTACAAAGATGCAACTCCAACAGGAGTAAAAAAAATATTTAGAATCCCCCTATTGTATAAGTAACTAACCTCCCAGTTTGGCTATTATTCTCTTAATTCAACTACTGATATTAGGCTCTTCCAGGGATTACACTGATGCTAGTAAAAGATTCTTGACACAATTAAAGCAACCCTCTGGTTATACCACTCACACCTGATTAACCCTTAAACTGTCCAAACATAGATCTACATTCGCACGACTAGAGCTCTGAACATAGATCAACATTCGATTTTACATTCTTTCTTATGTAAAAATAAAAGCAGATCTACGTTCGGAGCACTACACACAAAAACGTAGATCTGCATTACGACAGTTTAAGGGTTAAAGTAAATTTTTGACTTACAAACATGTTGAGAATCATCTGTATAGCATATATCATTATTATATGCAATTCAGGAGGTCCCCAGTGTGTTTATAAGTCAAGGACTTAATGTACCTATTCCCCTTGTTTAAATCACAGAATGAGTGGAGTTTCAATTTCGTGAGTTACTCCTCTCGTTCCTCTGGTGATTCGTCACACTTGTGGAATGAGTTCTTGTCCATAGATACAATAATATTGATCGTAGAGTTAGCTGAGATTTTTACTTTAACTTACTTAATAAAATATTAGTTTTGGCCTTAATGATCCCTAAAATAATGACTTTTAGTATAAGTATCACCCAGAGTACAAGTATCAATAATACAGAGTACAAGTATCAGACATACAGAGTACAAGTATGAGACACACAGAGTACAAGTATCAGACATAGAGTACAAGTACCACACACTGACAGTACAAGTACCACACACTGGTAGTACAAGTACCACACACTGGCAGTACAGGTACCACACACTGGCAGTACAAGTACCACACACTGACAGTACAGGTACCACACACTGACAGTACAGGTACCACACACTGGCAGTACAAGTACCACACACTGGCAGTACAGGTACCACACACTGGCAGTACAAGTACCACACACTGACAGTACAGGTACCACACACTGGTAGTACAAGTACCACACACTGGCAGTACAAGTACCACACACTGACAGTACAGGTACCACACACTGACAGTACAGGTACCACACACTGGCAGTACAAGTAACTACACTGACAGTACAGGTTACCACACACTGACAGTACAGGTACCACACACTGGCAGTACAAGTACCACACACTGACAGTACAGGTACCACACACTGACAGTACAGGTACCACACACTGGCAGTACAAGTACAACACACTGACAGTACAGGTACCACACACTGGCAGTACAGGTACCACACACTGGCAGTACAAGTACCACACACTGACAGTACAGGTACCACACACTGGTAGTACAAGTACCACACACACTGGCAGTACAAGTACCACACACTGACAGTACAGGTACTACACACTGACAGTACAGGTACCACACACTGGTAGTTCAAGTACCACACACTGGCAGTACAAGCACCACATACTGACAGTACAAGTACCACACACTGACAGTACAAGCACCACATACTGACAGTACAAGTACCACACACTGACAGTACAAGCACCACATACTGACAGTACAGGTACCAACACATGACAGTACAAGCACCACATACTGACTAGTACAAGTTACACACTGACAGTACAAGCACCACATACTGACAGTACAAGTACCACACACTGACAGTACAAGCACCACATACTGACAGTACAAGTACCACACACTGACAGTACAAGTACCACATACTGACAGTACAAGTACCACACACTGACAGTACAAGTACCACACACTGACAGTAGAGGTACCACACACTGGTAGTACAAGTACCACACACACTGGCAGTACAAGTACCACACACTGACAGTACAGGTACCACATACTGGCAGTACAGGTACCACATACTGGCAGTACAGGTACCACACACTGACAGTACAAGCACCACATACTGACAGTACAGGTACCACACACTGACAGTACAAGCACCACATACTGACAGTACAAGTACCACATACTGACAGTACAGGTACCACACACTGACAGTACAAGCACCACATACTGACAGTACAAGTACCACACACTGGCAGTACAAGCACCACATACTGACAGTACAAGTACCACACACTGACAGTACAAGCACCACATACTGACAGTACAAGTACCACACACTGACAGTACAAGCACCACATACTGACAGTACAGGTACCACACACTGGCAGTACAGGTACCACACACTGACAGTACATGTACCATACATTGGCAGTACAGGTACCACACAATGACAGTACAAGTACCACACACTGACAGTATAGGTACCACACACACACTGACAGTACAAGTACCACACACTGACAGTACATGTACCACACACTGGCAGTACAGGTACCACACACTGGTAGTACAGGTACCACACACTGACAGTACAGGTACCACACACTGACAGTACAGGTACCACATACTGGCAGTACAGGTGCCACACACTGGCAGTACAGGTACCACACACTGGCAGTACAGGTACCACACACTGGCAGTACAGGTACCAAACACTGGCAGTACAAGTACCACACACTGGCAGTACAGGTACCACACACTGGCAGTACAGGTACCACACACTGGCAGTACAGGTACCACACACTTGCAGTACAGGTATCACACACTGACAGCTAGGTACCACACACTGACAGTACAGGTACCACACACTGGCAGTACAGGTACCACACACTGGCAGTACAAGTACCACACACTGGTAGTACAGGTACCACACACTGGTAGTACAAGTACCACACACTGGCAGTACAGGTACCACACACTGGCAGTACAAGTACCACACACTGGTAGTACAAGTACCACACACTGGCAGTACAAGTACCACACACTGACAGTACAAGTACCACACACTGGTAGTACAGGTACCACACACTGACAGTACAAGTACCACACACTGGCAGTACAAGTACCACACACTGACAGTACAAGTACCACACACTGGTAGTACAGGTACCACACACTGGCAGTACAAGTACCACACACTGGCAGTACAAGTACCACACACTGACAGTACAAGTACCACACACTGGTAGTACAGGTACCACACACTGACAGTACAGGTACCACACACTGACAGTACAAGTACCACACACTGGTAGTACAGGTACCACACACTGACAGTACAGGTACCACACACTGGCAGTACAGGTACCACACACTGGCAGTACAGGTACCACACACTGGCAGTACAGGTACCACACACTGGCAGTACAGGTACCACACACTGGCAGTACAGGTACCACACACTGGTAGTGCAGGTACCACACACTGACAGTACAGGTACCACACACTGGTAGTACAGGTAGCACACACTGGCAGTACAGGTACCATACACTGGCAGTACAGGTACCACACACTGGCAGTACAGGTACCACACACTGGCAGTACAGGTACCACACACTGGCAGTACAGGTACCACACACTGACAGTACAGGTACCACAGTACCTGTACTGGTAGTACAGTTCCACAGTACACCAGACCTGTACTCTCACAGACAGTTCCACAATACACCAGACCTGTACTCTCACAGACAGTTCCACAATATGCCAGACCTGTACTCTCACAGACAGTTCCACAATTCACTAGACCTGTACTCTCACAAACAGTTCCACAATACACCAGACCTGTACTCTCACAGACAGTTCCACAATACACCAGACCTGTACTCTCACAGACAGTTCCACAATACACCAGACCTGTACTCTCACAGACAGTTCCACAATACACCAGACCTGTACTCTCACAGACAGTTCCACAATATACCAGACCTGTACTCTCACAGACAGTTCCACAATACACCAGACCTGTACTCTCACAGACAGTTCCACAATATACCAGACCTGTACTCTCACAGACAGTTCCACAATACACCAGACCTGTACTCTCACAGACAGTTCCACAATATACCAGACCTGTACTCTCACAGACAGTTCCACAATATACCAGACCTGTACTCTCACAGACAGTTCCACAATATACCAGACCTGTACTCTCACAGACAGTTCCACAATACACGAGACATTTATACATGATTTGAACACGTTCAGTCTGTGTGTTAAACAAATATAATTATTTTCACATTCTTAAGTAACAGCGATTTCCATTTCTGTTCTCTTGTTTCTTTAGGAAGAGTGCCTTGATGCAAGTGAAGGGCTCTTGCTCCAAGGACTTGGATGTATACACAAATAACCTGCACACAGGAGAAAGAAGCTTATAATGTTTCAGTCCAACTGAGATCATTAACCCTTAAACTGTCCGAACGTAGATCTACGTTTGCTCGCGTAGCGCTCCAAACGTAGATCTACGCTTTTTTTACATTCTTTCTTATGGAAAAAATCAAGGGCAGAGTGCTACGTACGCAAACATAGGTCTACGTTTGGACAGTTTAAGGGTTAACACCTGAAGGCGAGGGAGCCAGTGTGTCAGTGTTACTAGTCAAAAGGTTCAATGTCTGGATCACAACATCATCATAAGCTTCTCTCTTCTATGTGTGTATTGTTCGTGTATTGTTCCAGTCACATTATTGTATCTTTTGTTGCTTATTTGGATGTTCCTCCGTTCCCAGGATGAAATCTGATGATATACACTGGGTGTTACATGGCCACTATAGCTTACCACTTCTCTTTGATTATAAATATTTTGAGGATAATTTTCTATATTCTCTCTATAACTGCACAACAATCTTCAATTTCAGTTTGCAAGTTAATTTTCAAAACACTGCACATCTGTACAATTTTATGTATTTCAGTGGAAGTTCACATTACATACTTGAACTAAAATCTCCAACCACATTAGAGGCATCTAAAACTGTGGTCACATTATGTGAATGCCAAGTTCAGTTTTCTTCTAGGGTCACTATTTCATTCAATACTGAGAGGCCACACAAATGAACTCCTGACATTCTTGTACAATATAATACACAAATAACCTGCACATGGGAGAATGAAACATACGTTTCGGTGTTACTTGGATCATTGAATAGTCCTGTGATTAGTTGATGTTCCAATGCTGACTGTAAAATCATCACAGGTTTCGTTCTCACAGGTGCGGGTTGTGTACAGGTGCTCCTTGACTTACGACTGTTCGATTTACAATATTTTGACTGTGTGATGGTGCAAAAACAATTAATTTGGAGATAAAACCTAAGATAATTACCCAGAACGAACGCAGCAAGTTCGTAACTTGTGTTCATTTATTTACTTTTCAATACTGGTATTCAGTTACAGTATTTATTTGTTTATTTATTAAGTGACAGTTATTTTCTTATTTATTTAACAAATACAGTGGACCCCTGGTTAACGAACTTTTTTCATTCCAGTAGTATGTTCAGGTGCCAGTACTGACCGAATTTTTTCCCATAAGGAATATTGTGAAGTAGATTAGTCCATTTCAGACCCCCAAACATACACGTACAAACGCACTTACATAAATACACTTACATAATTGGTCGCATTTGGAGGTGATCGTTAACCGGGGGTCCACTGTATTCATATTTAAATTACAATGGTTTCGCAGGAACGCAACCCCATGGAAAGTCAAGGACCACCTGTGTTGTCCCAGTCACGGTATTATGACTGTTCATTCTTTGTAAGGTATAACTGCTGTGTGTGAGTGTGGAACAACAGTCTTGTTTTACAAAGTATACATGCTATAGCACATCCCTGCCCAGCTGCATGGTCTGACTGACTACTATGGCACCTGGGGAGTATACATACACACTCATCAACTGACCTAACAATGACTTTTGGGCTTCGGGAGACATAAACTTTCTCTGTATATTTGTAATAAATAATGTTTAATATAATTCGTTGTTAAATGCAATTCCTTTGGGAAAGTACGCTGAAATGCAGATAAGGATTCTCAGTGGCTAGGGCCACTGTTTAACTGCGGAACAGAGATACATGATACGACACAAGACCTAAATCTCGGCTATTCACTTAAAAGAATTTTATCACGCTTAGGTTTCTTCCTTCTGCGTTCTCTGCGCCTATCCCTCCTCTCTTTCTTCAACCGTCTTCTTTCTTCCGTACGGCTCTTCCGTCTCAACCGCACTATTCCCCTGTCAGAGCCGATCGAGTGCAGAACATGTCTGCCTTTGGATTCAAACAACTGACTCCCTGAAAAATCATAATATTAGCAATTACGTACTAATAATTACAGACATCGATGCTATATTATTATTATTATTATTATTATAATCATGGGAGAATGTTAGACCCATAAGGTTTATATAGCACCTGAGAGGGGGAGGGATGGAAGGCATTCAGGCTCAATTCGGGGAACTGGGGCACATATCCAATTCCCTATCAAGAGCTTAACAGCGTCAAGGAACCTCCCTTGAGGGGCACAGATGCTATAGACATAAAACACTTGCACTCAAGTGAGGGAAACTTACAACGATGTCTTGGTATGACTTGCGCTTGTCTTCACAGACATCACTTGCCACTTACTGAACTTCTTCTGTACATAACATCACATTATTAAACTTCTAGTAATGCAGCAGCAGCAGAAACCAATGCACAAGT